ATAATAATAAATCCAGCATTATTTTGCCATGTAATATGAAACGAAATGGTTATTGAGTGCATAGAAATAAAATTTAGTATTAACATTCTCAGGTGCTATGTATAACTAAAGAAAACAATAAAATTGTGTGAAATTTCACTCTCCCATTTTCCTGCAAACCTCGATGTTCTGAAACATTATACATTCAAAGAAGTGAATAAATAAATAAAAATTTACGGATATATAACTTACGTCTGCTTAAGTTTGTCCCTCTTTATGAACGTAGTAGTCACATTTGGTGTCACAGATTGAAGTAATTCACAGTATTATAAAATTGTAAGAATTGCAATGATTTTAGAATTTTTGAAAAATCTGAAATCATCTGTTTTCTCCCCTGTTTTCATGTATGCTCACATTAGAAAAATTTCATTAGCTAGGTACTTGCGAGTCTTGCATGTTATCAACATGATTGGAAACTGGACCAATTCAAAATAAATAGCCCAAAAATGCCATTTTTATATTTTTTTGCTTTTCCTTCATGCTTGGAACAACTTGAATTCAACTCAAATTACCTAATGTACTTATTTTAAACAACGCGATTTTTCTCATCTGTGGTTGTTAACCTGGTCATCTGCACACGTACACGTTTACACGTCTAAAACGTGCGCCTCAACCTCTCTAATATCTTGATTTAAAACTATTTTACAAAAGACCTTCAATACACGTTTAAAAACCCAAAAATTCTCAAACAAACTAAAAACCCTTAGAAAAACCGAACTATTATTCTAACAGATTAATATAGCATGTAAAAAGTTATTGTCGTTTAATTAGTAGTTGGTATCGAACAACTTTCCGTCTTCAATCAAGATAAGTAACTGAAATCGTGGCTAATAACAAGATAAAAACAACGTATTACCTTTTCTAGAGCAGTTATATGCAAAACTCTTCTGTATTTCTCTTCATCGTATTCTTCCCCAAACAAAATATTTTCTCTGATAGTTTCGTTGAATACCCAAGCCTCTTGAGAAGCATAAGCGATCTTGCCTTTCACTATCACTTCACCAGAAGTAACAGGAATCTCTCCCAAAATGGACATTAAAAAAGACGTCTAATCAAATTAATAATCGTTTCATTATTTGGAATGAAACACTATGTGTAATTAATATAAGCACGTAAGTACAGTATTTAAAACGTATTTACATGTTAATGTATTTAAATATTTCAATTATTAACTGCTTTTATTGTACAACGCATGTATTACAAAGCAGTAATATAACATACACATTCAATTGATAAATCAAAGATAACATTTATCCGTCATACAAATTTTATCATTTTATAGGAGTATATGAAAACTATATCAGAACAGAAGCTAAATTATACGTGCATAATATTTTAGTGCCAACGGTACAAATGATCATGAATGTGTGTTTCATCCTTTTCACAAAATAATCTGCCATTTTAGTATACAGACCAATCATTGAATGTCTGTACACAGAAACGGCAGATTGAATTAACCATTCAATACTATTAATAACAGTTTTAATTAACCGATGAACTGTTATTAATAGTATGGGTTGTTGATAAAATCGAATTTTATGTAATTCCTCACGTAAATTTAACAAATTTTTAGCAAATAGCATTCTATTTCAGAACTGTTGCGTTGACAGTAACAACTTACTGGTTGAATTAGAACACAATGTAAAAATAATTAAAATAAATTATTATTAACATATGCTATTTGAAATTATACAATGAGAATAATTTCTGTGTTACTAGTTTAAAATAACAGTCTCAAAACGGAGAATAAAGTAGTAACAAAATATTTGTTTAATTATTTGGCATAAGAATCATTTGTAGATAAGTTACATTAACTAATTTTACGAAATGTAATTACAGTATATATGTGCCTACATCCAGTTGTAGGTGAAATTTAACTTGTTAAAATCGAGAAATGGAGGAAAAGTTAGACTCTATAACAGATTATGCACACAATAAATAATACAAAGAATTCTCCAGTTATTGTTTCTTTCTTCCTATATTATGTAACTAATTCTCGCTGTAACTAATCAAAAACATATAAAATTGTTTAAACATGACAATTAATTTAAAAATGAATTTTATTACAAATAGATAAATGCTTAAATTTTTACAATATTTTTATTAATTATTCTAAACAATCTTTATATCACAAAGCATGTAAATAATTTAAAATATATAAGTACAAATTAAGATATTTACCTTTCCTGATCCGACAGGACCTATAACAGTTAATAATTCTCCAGGTTGTACGTTTATAGATATATCATTCAATGTTGAGTTGGTTTCCTTTTGAAAATTGAAATGAAAATTGAAAGGTAAGTAAATTGTATATAAGTAATCTTATCTGTTATAAATTAGAAATAACATACCATAAATTAATTTATAATAACGTAAATATTATATCTATATATATATAAATGGACGTGTATGTATGTCACTATATTTCACTTTTCCGCAAAAACTACACATCGCACGTGAATGGTGTTTGTATGTGGTAGTAGCCCCAAGTCTCCACTCGTGCATAGGGGTGGTTGCGTCTCGATAGCTATAAGGGTGCGGGAGATATGAGGCTGAAAGTGGTTGAAAGTGGCTTTCTATTTCGAATGTTTTGTTCGANTATATTGCATTAGTTTATATTATAAATATATCAGAAGCAGTAAGACATTAGTTCAGTCATACAGGTTCTAATATGCCCAAGAAAAAGAGGATCAGCAGGAGAAGTTAAATAGAATGTCCGTTTACCAGGCCATGATATTGCATCACTCATGAAATTCATAAATCATTGTTATTCAGAGAGAAAGATGTCTATTATCAAGCGTCGTTAGAGTTTAAAATATCACCCATAGAATGGAATAGATCCATAGAATGAAATGACCCATAGAATGAAATAGATCAGAGAATTGCATTATCATCTCTAATAACTAGTCTGTGCTAAATTTTACTAAAATTGTTCTTGGTGTAATATTCATTGTTAGTGTTATTAAGGACATTTTGAACCCTTCCTCCTTATGGATAATTAAATTAAAGTGTCACTATCGGAAGCCCATACAGAGGTCGGCAAGATGCCCAGGAAGGCAGATTGTTATAGGTGGAAAAATTGGCTGAAGAAAATAAAAATAATAAAATATTCTTAATTGCAGATGATCGATTCTTTTACTTTTTGAAAATAATAAAGTAATTAAGTGTATGAGGTTCGATTAAAATAATTCGAAATTACACTATGCCTGTATTTAAAAGAGGCGGCAAATAACTATCTTGCACGGAATGGCATAATTGCTGGGTTGGTCCATGACCCTCCATTACTTTGTAAATTCAGTCAGATCAATTTGAAAACCCCAGAATGATTACAACGGGGTCTTTGTCTCTAAAATGTTTAGCCTCATCCGTAACCACCTGCCATTCCAATCGTGGGTCTATCAAAACTCACGATGGGTATAACAAAAAAAAAAGTCTTAGTGGCTATGACTGAGGAAATGAAAAACTAATTTAATAAAATTTATAAAAAAATTATTACATATTAATATTTTTGAATAATTTCTAAATTAATATTTTAGTAATAAACCTTGAAAACAACAATTTTTTAAACTGTTCGTTACCTGAAGTCTCTTCAACGAAACCAAAACTTCTACAGTATAATTTATTGCATGTGTAAACAAATTAACAGTGCTAACGAAGATATACATAGAAACAGTCATAGTGACAAATACAATTTGGGCATTTAGTTGTCCTCCATTTAAGAAAAATGCAAGATATGTGAGAGAAGTAAATAATTTCGATATAGGATATGCCATTATGAATGATATTCCCCTAGCATATAAAAACTTCCGAATTTTTTTCATTTCTTTCCTGCAAATATAAACAATTAACTAAAATCAGCGTAAAAATTTGAAAATATTTATTAAAAGAAAAACAGCATGGCAAAAGTACAGTAAAATCAGTGTAAACCAGAATTGCACAAACCTTTTCCGTTGATCGGTTTCCATCTTGAACAGTTAATTTAACATAGAAAAATGCTTCGTTTTAAGCAACATTTTTGTTTAGACAAGTATTTTGTTTTATTCATGTTTAGTTTTAGACAGCTTTTACTATATTTAAATCAACTTACTCTCTAATTTTCTCAATTAATGCAGCATATGGCAATTCCCAGGTGTACATTTTAATTAATCTCATATCAGCAATCATCTCGTTCAACAGGTTTAATCTTTCGTCTCCCAATTCAGCTGCTTTTAATCTATTATTATGAAATTAAATCTTAAATATAAATATATAGTCTTGGAAAAATAGGCCAATATAAAATTACTTTCGAAAAATTTATGAATTAATTTTATATAGTTACCATTTTTTTAATTTCAGTTACTAACTTTACTTTTTTTATTGAACATTTTGTAAACATTCAGTAAAATTTTTAAACCATGTGCTGTAGAAATTATTCTATTGGTGCAAAATAATTCCGGAAGGAATGAAGTAAACGATTCTGTTTTAGTGGTTATAATAATGAATTACTATAAACAAATTAAGGCCTATAGTTCTTACGAATGTTCACTGATAAGTAAGTGCTTCTAGAATTAACTTAGCAGAATCAGCTATCACTGATCTATAATCATGCTGTTTTCAAAATAAGTTTGTACCAATAAGTCAATAATTATTTACATTGTTGAACTATAAGTTTAATTTTATAAGAATGTGATACTACATAATAATAAATCCAGCATTATTTTGCCATGTAATATGAAACGAAATGGTTATTGAGTGCATAGAAATAAAATTTAGTACTAACATTCTCAGGTGCTATGCATAACGTAAGAAAAAAATAAAGTTGTGTGAAATTCCTCCGTCCCATTTTTCTGCAAACCCCGATGTTCTGAAACATTATACATTTAAAGAAGTGAATAAATAAATAAAAAATTACGAATATACAACTTACATCTACTTAAGTTTGTCCCTCTTTATGAACGTAGTAGTCACATTTGGTGTCACAGATTGAAGTAATTTACAGTATTATAAAATTGTAAGATTATTGGAAGACAATCAACATCTACAATTATATCATTCAATTCTGATATTTTATAAAGTATTGATGAACTGGTGAATATACCTTATTTGTATTTATTTTTCTGTAGATTCATCTCAAAATAAATAATATACATATCAAACTTCAACCGCTAGAAAATGTTTCCTGTTTTACACTGTGGAATAGTATTTGTTTGTGATTACAGAAACTTCTCAGATCTAAAAATCAAGATAAAAATATTAACTTTTTTTAGCAGGAAATATGTTGACTAGAGGATTTGATCCCGGGATCTCGAAAATCGGGATCCCGGGATCCCGACCACTTTTCAGTCCCGAAATTTTCGGGATTAAGTTTTCCTAATCCCGAGATTTTCGGGATTGACATCATTTTAAAAAAGTTGCAAAATAGACTGCATGAAGCGAAACGTTCAGTGCCAGTGCTTTTAACAGAATTGCTTGCCTATCATTTTAATATAAAATATGAGAAATTTTCTTTCAAGCAAGCAGCAGAAATTAACCTAGCGGGCTTGCGATGCTTGCTTGGAATAAAACTTCTTGTATTTTGAACTAAAATGATAGGCAAGCAGTTCTCACTGGGTTACTTGGCAATATACTTCATTTTTGTATTTTTGAATTTTCGCGGGCGCCAATCGATTTTCTGGCGCAGTCGAGAGCACTACTCAGTGCGTTTTACCTGTCAATGTGTCAGCCATCTTGTTTTGCCAGTGTGGTTAATATAGACCCGACGCCTCTCGCTTAGGGGGGTCGACCTTAGGTGAAAAGGTTACGACCCCCGCCTTGCCCGTGATCTGTCAGGATGATGCGAGAAAGTCTTTTTACGTTTGGGAGTAGTGGTTTGCTGGATGCTGAGAGACTCACACAGAGACCGAATTTACAAAATTAACGTGTTTATTTTTAGAAAGGCATGCTTACAATGATCGAAACAATCGGGATTGTAGCCTTTACTCCTACAATCCCGATCTGTGTCGACCGGACTGTTTTCTTCCAACCTCCCCGTGTCCTCGAAGCTATAACTAGAACGGGCTTATAAGTATTTACTAACGATTCCTCCAACTTCCATCAAACCTAAACGCGTTTTCTCAGCAGCTGCATATATGTGCAACAAATTGAGAAGCAGACTTGGTGATGAGACACAGGATGCGTTGTTATTTCTCAGATCATATTTTCGCAATTCAAATTAGAATGTTCCTATTAGATTAGTTTTCTTTATATTTAAGAAAAATGTGACTGATTAATATTATTTTTAAATACTTTTTGCTAAGAAACTTATCTTACTACCTACTTACTAGGTTGCTATATGAAAGTAGTCTATTTAGTCGATGTTAAGAGAGATTTTTGTTAATTTTCAACGTTTATTTGCATAGTTTGTTACATAAAGGTTTTTTCAATTTATGTGAGTTTAAAGAGATCTCAGTGATGCTTAAAAAAGAATAAATTTAACATGAAGACTGAGTGATTTTAAGTCTGGTTAGTCTGACTCTGAGTCTGATTAGTTAGAGTGATTAAATTAGCTAGGTGTATACTGTAAAATATGTTGATTTTTGTCTAAATTTTGATTTGATTTCTGTAAGAGTTTCTTATTTTTTATTAACCCTCAATACCGAAATAATCCCGGGATCGCGGGATTGACTAAGTATAATCCCGAAATCCCGGGATTAGAAATAAGGACCGGGATCGAATTCCCTAATGTTGACCCAGCTCTACACTGCTGGTAATGTCAATAAACCGCTAATTGTTTTAGGACTCTGTAAACAAATGCTTTCTTTTTGGTTTAAAGTGGGTTGAATTACTATAAATAAATTGCATCATTCATCATTTTTACACTTAGTCTACCTCTCAATTAATTTCACAACATATCTGAAATCCCAAAGAACATTTCCACAACATCAAGTTTTTAAGAACTATTTTTAGAAATCTGAAGAAAATTTAGTATTTTTCTAACTTTTCCTCTTTTAAAACTGACACAGTGCATGTTTCATATTGGGCACCTGTTTTCCAACAGAAAAGAAAATATGCTGGCACCACATAGTCACCACGAGACTAATGTTTTACATCAAATATACAGGAAAATTGCACGAGAGTACCTTATTTCAGCAATGCATACATTATGCAATGGACAGAATAAAAATATGAAATAAATATATCTTTACAAAAATACTATATTTTATATTGGCCCTTATGAATAAAAAAGAAGGAAATGCAAAAGGAAAAGCATAAAGTAGAAATAAAAGAAAGTGCTTCGAGCAAAAGTAGAAGCAAAAGCATTTCCTCTGTTTACTATAAATAATGATTATCTTATGTCTGTCGAAATCCTTTTAGTCATTTACCACAGAGGTAAATGACTAAAAGGATTTCGACTAAGGTTTCTCTAACGGGATCCCGGCTGTATTTAAAATTTTCCTTTTTTACCTAACTACTTTGATACTACATTATTCAGTCGCCAAGCGTAATGTCATTTTTCATGTAATGATAAATTTTCGTTATTAATCTAGAAATTTAAGAATTTGATATATATTTTTAAAATTCAAAATATTTCTTGTTCACTTATTTCATTCATCATATCATTTCTGGTTTAGAAAAGAATTTTAATTAAACAATCAATCACAAATTTTGAGACTGGCCATAATATTTCTGGTGATATTGATTTGTGAATCTTGGTAATTAATTTTCTAAACTAATGGTATATCACATAAAACAATAAAATTAATGCAATGAGATTTCACAAGATGAATCTTAAAGGAATAATTTTTCCAATAGAGCAATACAATAAGGTTGTATTGATGCATTTGGAAAGGAAGTAAGAGATATTTTTGGGTTAATAAAACATTGCAGTTTGTATGCTTTAATTAACTTAAGCTAACTAGACGTTCTCCTTACACAAGAGTAATGAAGCATGTAGTTTGCGTGTTGAATAGTATGAACGATATGAATAAAAACATGCATTACTGTATTCTTGTAAAATTTAAAGAAAATCCTTTTAGCCGTATGAATAAAAATAAAAGCAAAATCTTACACTTTTCAGCATGAATCAAATGTTTTCGAATGAAAGTTTTTCTTTAGTAATAAGTATTCTGTATGAATAACAGTAAGCATTTATTTAATTGATAAGCATATTTTTCAGAATACGCATCTATTTAAACGTATAGTACACTCAACTGCAAGAAATTTGATTTACTGTTACTTTTATCTATGTTAATTTTATGTTAATGTTTAATTAACCATGGCTGAAGTAGAGAATCTAAGGAAGGTTAAATATAAACTTCGTTTCTCTCCACAAGTCATTGATTTTAAGGTATTGTTTACGTTTGAAGAAGAAAGTGTTGAATGGTTGACACACAAACTTATAGCAGTGACGAATGATTAACGTAGTAGTAACTTCTTTACAAAAAATGAAAATATGTTTAAGATATTTAACTTATCCTAGATACCACAAAGGAATAGAAGAATGTATGGTGTATGTCAATGTCACGAACTGTCCTTAATGTTATGAAGAAAATAATAGCTCAGGCTGATCGTTAGATAAAATTTCCTAAAACAGATCATTCTGTTATGAACAGTTATGGAAAAATAAATCCTGTTTTCCAACTGCGATTCTTGTGATTGATTGCACTCACATAGGGATAGAAAAACCTAGACTTTATGGTTATGAGTACATTAATCGAAATGGAAAACCCACATTAAACATACAAGCTACCTGTAATACCAGATGCATGTTTACTACTTAGTTGGATATCTACACTATGTAACAAAGGGCAACATGCGTACAAATAATACGAATTGAAAACAGCAAATAAAATAGAACATTGAGACGAGATTAACGTGTCATAATATGCACATCGAGAACCTTTTACTCGTTTACCAAAAGCATTATCTCGGAAGTATAAGATAATCATTATTCATATCAAGCAGAGGAAAGGCTTTTGCTTCTATCTTGTGCTCGATGCATTTGCTTTTACTTCTGCGTTATCTTATTTACATTTTCTTCGTTGTTATTCATACGGGTCGATGTCGGACATTGCTAAATTTTTGGTGATCCACGCATAATTTTTTCGATTGCTATAATTCTCGAATAAGAAATTTAACAATCTGTATTAACAATCTAAAAAATGTTTAGGTTTTACGTAGTATATTTTAAGCGATGGACATGGATATGTGAGAATCCGAATCTAGGAATTGAATTATTTTTAAATCAATTTTCGATGTAATATTTCGATGTTAAAAATGACTTTTTCCACTTTTTGACGATAAAATTCGATGTGAACAAGGAAATGGAACTTCCTTTTTCGCCGTCCACTTCCTGAGCCAGAAATCTTGTCATTACCGATGACAAGACTTCTGGCCTGCACGACTCATCTAAACATCCTGCCAAATGGTCGAAATAATAACCCACGATTGCAGAAAAATTAGAATGAAAAAGTATTGCAACTTTGATCGGCGCGGTCATCGTCAGTTTCCCTAGTTATTTTAGTCTGTGTGTCTATCCTGCATTTACCTCAAAATTATCGCCGCCTACCGAAGATTGTCAAACCTTAAAAGAGGTATAATATCAGATTTCATGTAAACTCTCTCTCGGAACGAATAGAGTTAAGAATTTAAAATGCCATAGTCATTAGCATTAGATACTTTTGGATAATGTAATTGTTTATTTGTAACCTATACAGTCTAATCCATTTGTAATCCATTATATTATATTTACTCAATAAATTAGTTAATTAACTGTTAACTTGGATATTAATGGTTATTTAAGATGGATGCCTATTGACTGATCCACGATCTCTCCACTCATAACCAATAGTCCTCCTCTTAGAAAAAAGTAGTGTGTTTTTAAGAGAAGGCTATATTTTAATGTTGCGTCCTAAGCGACATTAATAAATTAATTATCTTGGCTGGTGCCAGCATCCTGACGTTGAGGGGATATCACTATCCTAACAACATACTAACTTAAATCCATCCACTGACCTAGTCAGCGGATCTCACCTATCTGTGCCAATAAGAGGTCAACACCTTTTTGATCTCCGGCTTCTCACAGATATTTATTTTCATAATTAGTTTTTCTCGACTGCATGACAGTCTCTTACTGTATCTAAAACTGCACAGTATAAAATAACTGGGATTAAAAAAATGCATGTTTTACGTTTTTCCTTGCTGTAATTTGCTCCAAAAAAGCAAAAAATAAATATTCGGTATCAAATTTCACTTTATTACAAACTATCACACATTTTTGTCAATTGTTATCTGGTTTGTTTAAAATAAAAGTAGAAATTATTATCTATGACATTCGTTGTAAGAATTGTGAAATATTTTCACGGAAAAAATTGAATAGACACGTCCCCATTCCGTAGTGTGAATATCCATGAACCTTCAATTGTTTTAAGAAATATATAAAGAAAAAATCCCTTCTTTCAAACGGATCGAGTGTTTTTTATTTAATTGTACGCAGAAGAAAGTATTCTTTAAAACTGATCGAATAACTATGTTTGATCTGGCAACTTTCATTTTATTTTCAACTTTTTATGTAATATAAAAATGCAGTGATAAAAAATCGATTACCTAAATTCAAAAATAATGATTGCTCAAAACATTACAAAAAACATGAAACTTTTTGCTGATCGATAAGACAGGAATCTTCTCTACACTAAATGAAGCAATCCAAAAAATCGTGCACAGTTCACCAAAAATTCGGAAAATTACATGATGTCGTAGGCGAAATTATAAGCTTTATAAGATACAATAAACAAACACCATTACCAAAGAAATGCATTAGTCACAATTACTAAGATGTGATGCTAACAATACTCGTGCAAAGAAGGTTAATGCCTTCGATCATCCCGTCATTTCCAACATCAGCCGTAAGTCTATAGATTTCGACTAATGTATGAAATTTTAAACTTATTAAACATCTGTATTTCATCTTCATTAATGATAACTATGTTATGCATTATTTCTTTACTTTATTTATAGTTTATCACACTTATAGAATTTACAATAATAATTACCTTAGTTTTGAATATAATTTACTCAAAGCAAATTGCGTAGGAATGTAGAGAAATATGGCTATGAATCCTACTAAAATAGTCCATCCGTAATATTGCCATAAAAGTGCTATCGTAGTGATGATGAAAAAAGGATTTGTAAATAAATATGGAATGCCGTAATTATTCTGTAATAAATAATAATATTAGTTTTATACAAAATACTAGTATTTCGATCACTATTAATATAAATTTCAGTGTAATTATTATCGAAATTATAGAATATACGATAAACATGTTAAGTTTGCATGAAGTAGTCTACTTTTTTAGAGGATTTCGTTAATTTGACAACTACAAAACCATTGTTACCAAAACTAAAAACCAAAACTACGTTGATAGATTAGTCAAACTTTTCAGTACTGTAATTTATAAGGGTTTTGAATGTGAAAAGTATTGCTGTACATTTTGTATCCAGGCAGGCTGCTGCATTGTTTTGAATTGTTTAAAAACACTGTTTTATCAGCATGAATATTAAATGGGGCATACTACTGTTTTATAAATGAGTAAAAAGCTTGCAAATATTTACGAACCTGCATTATTTTTTATTCTACACTGAAAAATATTTTTTTAAAACTACTTTTTTACAACAAAACAATAAATTTTAGATTTCTTTCAAATGATAAGCACAAATTAGGAGCTAACACAAATTATTGAGTGAGAATTTACCGAGAATATTGACATAAGTGATAGAAATAAACGAAATTATTCAAATCTAACAAATAAATGACTGATGACAACTACTTCAAAGCAACGTTGACAACAGTAACTGTAATAAAATTTAGCATTTTGTGACACACTCTCTTCATGATTTACGCATTTAATATCTAATAAAATATTTAAATAAAAATCTGAAGAATCATAGATATTTCGTAAAAATTCATTGACAAACGATACAGTTAGATAAATTTCTCTGTTTGAACAATATGTAATTAAACGAAACATTTTTCTTCTTTTAAGATCGATATTACTACTTAATTCACTATATATCATGCATTGAAATATGCTTCAATACCACCAAGAATACCAATACCAATAGTTTGTTTTTTATGAAAAACAATCCCAATGAACGAATTTTTATAGAAGTTATCAATTACTACAACAATTCATAAATGATCCCATGAATACAAAGTTAATAAATGTTAATTTCAAATTGCCCTTTGACTATTTGCTTCGTTTAATAGATCAAAATTCTCAGAGATTTTTCTTTAATGGATACTTAAAGCACAGATTCTTTCTGTCCAAATCTTATTGTTTGTATTGTAGTTTCTGGCAAAATCCATAATAAACAAGAAAATAGTTATTTATTAGTAACACAGTTGAAAATCATAATATAGTATTACAAATATTTTCATCTAGTGTTATAAACTACTCTATACATTAGAGCGTCGTTTATCCGAAGGTCGGTTATCCGAAACGTCGGTTATCCGAAGGAATTCCAGTCGACAAATTTACATTTTCGCCAGTGCTGTGGCGCTGTAATCTTTGGCAATGTCTTCGGCTACTCAAATATTTTACGTTTTTGATACTAAATTAACTTCTGAAGTATAATTTTTTATTGTTTTTATATATTTCAATATATTTATTTTGTTTGTACAAAATAAAGCAATAATTTTTAACGATACAATAGTCTTCGTTAGGCTTAACATTGACGAAAATTCAACGCGAAGCGACACGCAACGGAGAAAAATTTCAACACGGGATAAATTAATATATTTTTCGTACATAATTGGTTATCCGAAAAATAAGTTATCCGAACAACCCCAGTCCCCAATTGATTCGGATAAACGACGCTCTACTGTATTTTTTCTCAGTTTTAATATGACATAATAAATTGCCAATTGTAAAGATTCTTATAAAACGTAGCCGAAAAAAAGGAAAAACCGGTAATAGCAGATAATAATGCGATTTTCTAGCATATCAATTTGTATGCAGATTTTTCAAAATTATCGAAGTAGAGCAATAAACTGAATCATTAAGGCGAGTAAAGAGTGCACTCGAACTGATTGAAACGTATCTCAGCTTTCGCAGTAGAAAATATTCAGCAGTGTCTGCAAAGATCGAATTGCTTATAATTTATTAAATTTCGTAAAAATTTCAAAATATCTGCTTATCGGGCATTATCGATAATTCCACACAACACATGTTTTAAAAGTTTCAGATTAACCCTGAACTGATGTGAATTGGAGTTGCACTTATTGTGTTATGGGTCCAATAGACCGAGGTGATATCAAAGTGCATAAAGCTATACATATATATATAATATTGTTTTTCAAGTTTAATTATTTTATACTATTGACTTATTAACTTGTCAACACGGCAGGTATGAACATTTTGTTTGTTTCATACAAAATATTTTGTTGAAAGTGTTAGAATCATTTCTTACAAAACATTTACTTCGAATACAAAAACAACAATTGCTTAGTGAAAAACTAATGTTTTATAGAATCTAATTTTGTTCTTTTTCATTATTATGTATTCAATGTAATGTACTCTTATCTATAAAAAACTGACATTCACTACTATATAAAGAAAATGCTCACAAAAAGTAACGCTCACTTGATTCGAGGAAATAATGCATATTGTAACTTAAATAAATTTTGTTGGCTCTTCCGCCATGTTTATTTTCCACTTTGAAATAAAAAACTAAAAACTTTGCACTGAAAAAAATTACGTAACTACTGTTGTGGATGCAGTGGACCATTGCGAATGTTAAAAACCCATTTCGTTGTTACATGCAAAACACGCCTGCCTACCAAAATGTAAATCAGATGTGTTAACCTGCTGAAGCGCATGTGCCATTACAATGAACACAGCGGCTGATCAGCAACATGAAAAATGTACTTTCATGTTTATTATATTTGTATGACAGATTGACTTTGTAACCACTCTTTATTCCAATTTATAATTATCTACTCGAATTAATTTCAATTAGAATTGTAAGAAAATAAAACAGAAATTTTGAAGAAAACGCATATACCTGTGATTGAATTACGTGTACAAGATAATATTTTTGTCCTTATTTAACTATTACGCCACATAAAAATATTAATACGTTATGTGTATTAATTAATTACAATTTATATTCATAATAACTTCAACTTACATTTTGAAATTTGCTGACATCATTTACTATAAGATTTACCATTTGCCCAACATTCGATTTTTCTAGAGATGAAGGATTTAATTTCATTGCCTATAAAAAATTGTATATATAATAAATAAATATTCCTTAAAACTAATAATATGTTCCAATAAGAAATTAAGTTTTCACAAGGTTTTTACACAAAGAAATGGAATAAATTTTCTGTTTTAATATGTGTAATTATTATTTGAATTAATATGAAATTAAGAGTTAAATATTAATTTTTTGAATTTTGGGGTTATTATATTACATATAAAAATATATTTTTACTTTAGTGGGATATTATTATGCATAGTATATAATATACTGTATTGCGAAATTAAATAATGTAAGGAATTTGCATATCAATAGAGAGACAGTATATTATTAATATCAAAAAATAAATCATAAATTTGTTCTGAAAAATTTTACACTATTAAACTCTTTTGACTCCTTTTAAACTGTTTTAAGTTGAATAACCTTAACCCTTCTTTGCTTTTGTGACAAAATGCTTTCCATGAAGTGCGTGGAATTTCAAACACACTACTATTTTCTCCTAAATTGTGAAAAATTGGACATGTCATTAAAAACTATGATTATATCTTAAATTTCTATATTTTACCTACTATCTAACGGTATAAAATTATTGTGGATCCAAAACAAAAAGGTAAACATATAAACTTGCCAAATTTTTTTCAAAAACGTGAAAAAATAAACATATCAATGTTCAAATGGCTGTAAAGTAACTAAAGTAGCATTGGGCTTGGGTGAAGTTTAATTTTTCAAACAGTAATTTTTTATGTACTCTTGGATTTTGTAAGGAGCCAGCACAGATACCTGAAGGGCTCATTCTGTTGTTTTTGTTATTGTCATGATTTGTATGTCTCCAACAACTACAGAATAAGTTTTACCACATTGCAGTAAAGACATCCAGGCAAATCCAATCAAGTCACATAAATAATTGCACATACGTAAATTCTCATAAGCAAGGCCATTTCTATTACAGCAGCCCACCAATATTCTTATTATAATGTCACAGTAGTTTATCATAGTCATTGACAATGGCGAATCTTATTAAAATATCTATAATTATGCACTTAACATGAAAATTCTGAAGGTTTTTAAAACCTCCCGAAATGTTTAAACTAAATGTGCATTGTTGAAATTTTAATAAAAAGTGTTTTAATAATTTACAAGTTTTTAATCGTCTTAAAAAGAATACAGCAGGTATGTCATTTGAAATGTTAATTTGTATGCTTAATACTATGTCGTAACTTAATATAATTTATTAAATGGCAAAATGAAAAGAAAGGGAAAAATCTGTAATCATGCATACATTCATTCTAAGAAATTATGTTTAAACATCACTCAAAATTGGATAATGTAAAATACAGAACAGAAGATATGTTCCTTGTAATTATATGTGTTATCTTAACAATTTAATGCTATATGATAACAGTGTACATTTTAAAAATAGTTGACTGGTGAGGGGCATTGTGAGACCGAAACGCGTATCAACCAAAAAAGAATAAGTAAAGGATGAAAAGATGTCTAGTGTCTGATTGACTGCACTAATCGTGCTTGTGAAACAAAAATAAAAATAACACATGAGTGAATTAAACATTTTGTATCCATGATAATTAAATCTAATTCTATAATGAGAACATAAAACACCGTATGAGTGTAGTGTGTAAATAAATTAACAACGAATCTTAATTTTTTGTAAAAAATTTAACCAGACAGAAAATCTTTCATTTGAAAACGTTTATATATAGAGACAAAAATTTCATTTATTCCCAAATTATTTTTCATTTTTAGATATTATTATAAAAGGTAAAAATAAAGCCATCGATTTCTGCATATGCAAACAACTTTCATTCATTAATGTTAATTTGTTCAATCCTCATATTTTTCAATACACTTTCTGAAAAATATAAATATAAATATAATAATATATTCATAGTAAATTATATTTCATACTCACTTTTCTGTATATAATCGTGCAAAAAGCTATCTTTAATTTCATTCCAATAAATTCTGTCATAATTAAATTAGTATTATATGTAAAGAAATAAATTGCAGTCACGCCAAAAAATCCGGCAACGGTTAAGTAAATATTGTATTCATTCCATTCCAACTTATTGTCAAAATAGTGTACTGTTAATCCTAATAAGTGTGCTTGGCCCACAACTAGTGCTGTGTCCTGCAAATGTACATAAATATCAGTTATTTAAATGATTTTAATATATGATTATCATATAAGCTAATCAATTGTCAAGTACCTGAATCAATGTAAGTAAAATTAATGCTAAGAATATCCATCCAACGAATCGTAATACAGCTTTTAGTACGTTTGGATTTCTTTTCTGTAGTTCTTTGTTCCACTCTCTAAAAACAAATTGCAATGAAACGTAATACGAGTAAATGAAAACAATATTTTAAATTAATATTTCAACTTTTTGTAAATTTATAAGTTATTTATAGCGCATTTAATACTATTATTTCTTTATGAAAATACAGTAAGAGTTTATTAATCCAGTACTTGTTAGTATTAAGTATGTGAATTAATAATCAGTTATCAATTTAGTAATCTTCAAATCAAATTGCTAGTAATCTTAAAATCAAAATGTGTTTGGACACATGTAGTGTGCTAAAGACAGCAAGGAACAACCAAAACAGATTTGAAAAGTGAGGCTGTGCAACGTTGCTACATTTCACAAGATGGATGTAATCTTAACTTAGCATAGTCATATATATATATATATATGTGTTTGTGTTACCGTTAAAGTATATAATCCGTTATTGTATAGAATATCTAGCTATTTCATAGAATACCTAAACAGGTCGTTAAAGTGTATAATAGTCTAACATTCTCTACTTTAACTAGGTATTATATATATAAAATAACGATTACCGCTTCGGTTAGGCATATGAAATAAAAATCGTTTTTGTTTATAAAGATCAAGGAATGATATAACGATGAAGAGAGAGAGTTGAAACTATCCCAACAAGTGTACATTCAAGTTATCAGTTCAACCAAACGATCGCTTTAAACAATCGAGCTATAAATCCGCTATTATTAATGATTAGATACTAAGTATTTTTATGCTAGAGGCAGACGCTATGCGCTATCTCTTATCTAAATTAATAATTATAATAATTTATTAAATAATTTAGAACATTATGGAAGAAACATATTTCTGTGTATTGGGGCTTAGGGGCGTTTAGTAAAGTTATCAGCTGTTTACTGTCTTTCTAGTTTTGTTTAGTGCTCAGACAATTGTAAAATTTTTGTACTTACCTTTTTAAAATTATTTTTTGTATAATTTTTTGTGAAATGGATAAGAAAG